GAACATTTGGGGCCTTGAGGGGCAGGGGCCATGAGGCTTTTTTGTGTGTTCTCTCCCCAGAGACACTTCCAGGAACCCCTAAGAGGTGGGTGGCATGTGGGTTGTGGGATGATAATGCCCCGACGTTTGCCATCTAAAAACCGTTAACATCCAAGTGTTTATGGAAACTTCTTAATGGCTGTTGGTTCACGCGCTTTCCCGAACATGATCAGGCATGAGCCGGGACTGCTTGGAGATGCATTATGTCAAGGAAGGAGCTTCCCTGCTTCAGAAGCTGCAATCTCCAGTGCCCGTTGAATACTGCAACAGGTGCGAGATGCAGGCGGGATGGTTTTGTTGCCGTCTAGAAGACTGGGGTTTCTAAGGGGGAAAGCGCGGGGCAGGACCATTTGCTGGCCTTCAAGGAAGCAGGGCACCTTTCGGCAGGGTGGTTTCATTTCGTTCCGTAGATGCCGCATGGTCCAGGGGCTTTCCGCCTCCTTTTCGAAGTGTGTGTAAATTCGCGAACGCAAGCTTCTCCTTTTTCGCGCAACCTCCGAACAATGGAGTGCCTTCTGGATTCTAGATCTATCTCATCGGAGTTTCAGAACAGGAGGAAGGATCGTATTCTCGAACCCCCCCCCCCCCAAGCGTGGAAGCGTGGGAGCAGTACTCGTAGTAAAAGCCACGTCTCTTTAATCTATAGCCGACTATAGCCTCGCACAGCACATGACAGGCACAACGACTCCAATAATCCCTGGTTGAGGGACACGGAATATTCCCTGAACAGATGGCCCGCCTTTATGCACACCTTTGCATGCGGATGGGCATGGGGATTTTTAAGAGAAGACGAACAACGTCAGCCACCCTCAAGCCGGCTAAATTCGAAAAGCCTTCAACATGTACCATACAGGAAACATAATGCAAACCACAAGGCTTTGATACGGGGGATGTTGGGTTATGCACCCCCCTTAAGACCCCCTATTTTTAAGCCCGCGAACATCCTCCCCCGAGCCTTCGTGCGATCCTTAAAGTCATGCCATTGTCCGTCCTAGCTCGGGTGGAAGGCAAAAAAAATCCTTAAAGTCACGGGAAGCCACCAAGAGGTTTGGCGGGGAGTGTGGGCCCCGCGGTTACGATTTCGGGTTCATATAGGAGCCTCAATACTTACCTATACCAGTTTGGGGGTTCCGTCGTAGAATAACAGTATAACCGGCCCCAGAACCCTATTCTAATCATTCACGCCCCTATACTACCCATAGTGGAGATCATGCTCGGGGATCACGAGCCTAACCATCCCAAACCCCTAGCCGCCCGGAGCCCGAAACTCACATCCCGAAATGTCCTAAGCAGCTCCCAGTCATGTTCCGTCCGAGGAAAAACGTTCAGGGCGGGTTTAAGGTTCAGTGGTTCCTTTCAGGGTTCTAAATTCTAAAGGAACCCTTAGACCCTAAGGATTTTCCCTACAAGTATCTTCTTGAAGATCCCGTAGAGGGGTCCTTAAGGGATCTGTAGGGGTTATCCCTGTCTGGAAAGGTGCTGTCCACACTGGAGGGGCAGCTCTTAAACCAGAAGAGACTGGTCTCAAACTTGTTTTTGTTCAGCAGTTCTGTAAATGCTATGCGGGTCTTTATGTGATGTCAAGTGCTTTTATGTAAGGCCTTTCGCAAGGCTTGCAAAGGCTTTTGTTAAGGGACTTCGTCGGGGCCAATGAGGTGTTTTTCTCGGGGGAAGATTAATGACGAGACAGAACATCCGCTATAGTCTCCAAATTAGTACAGAATATAGTCCGAAACTCTTGGTTGATTGATATTGCCTTTGCGTTCGGGTCTGGGTTTGCGGGATTCAGTGTTCAGGGATTAGGGCTTGGACTGTTCAGGACTTGGAAGTGAGGGTCACGGGGTATTTAGCAGAAATCACAGACATAGAGGTTCTAGACACCCGAAGAGCACTCAGAAGTGGAAAGTAAACAAACGGATGTTTGCTTCTGTCTTTGCACCAGCATTCATGCATTGCTTGAGGGGATAAGGCCCTTTAGCTTTTCCAGATTAATGGGCCTCTCGACCTTCATCCTGTTCCCATCTAAAAAGAACGACTTTCGGGCTTTACAGGTTTGGGCTTCGGGTTTCTAGGGTTTTCGGATTCTGAAGCCCCTGGCCGAGCAAGTTCCCAAGATGAGGAGCCGCATCCGGCCAGCGGACCTGTCTGCTGCCTCTGCGCCCGAGCGGCATGCTGCCGTGTACCGGGCGGGACAGCTGGAAATCATCTCCGAGGCACGTCCGCCGGTGCCAGATAGGAATCTGCTATTAGGCCTCAGCCGGCGATGCAAGCGACGGCATGTGCTTAAACGAAGAACCAATCCCTTCTGCTTGGCTGAGTAGCAAGTACTTATGTTGAGTCTTGCTCTAGTGCTTGTGCGAGCTTTTGTCGTCGTGGCCATGCACCTTAGCAGGAGTAGTAGCCATTAATAGTCGTCGTCGTAGCAATAGTAGTCGCAGTGGTAGTGGTATTGGTGGTAGTAGTAGTAGCAGTAGTA